AAAAAAAAAAAACATCTATGATCTAATATCAATCACTTCATCAGCCAGCTGGAAGTACTAAAAAAGAATAACTATACCACTATTAAACTAGAGAATAGAATGTTTTCTGGGAACAACTCCTTCACATTAATGTCATCTCAACAGGTGTTGTGGGGGGAGCCATCTAATTCTATCTCAGCAGTTGAAATAGCTAGAGAAGATTTACCGTTTCCTTCCTTTTCATCACTGAGTTCTCTGGATGTGTAACAAATATCAATACCCCTTGATTTTAGAGGGAATACTTTTTAATGCCTCAAAAATTATTTACTAGGTTACTATATGCTGGGCATTGTGTTAGGCTCCAGGAGTGCAACAGTAAGCAAGTGAGAGTCAATCCCTGTTGCAATTACATACAGGCCACCGTATCCCCTTTTAAAGTTTCTGATAAAGAGAATTAAACATGTAAGATCCAATTACCAAATGGAAAAGGAAGTTTCAGTGACATAAAAGTTGACTAAATATCATGTGATCACAATACTCCCTGCCAAAGGTGTAGGGAAGCCACATCTTCTGACCTCCTCTAACCCCACAAAAGGGAGACAGAATCACTATTAGTAGCCCAAGGCCTATTCCTGCAAGGCCAAACATGCTGCCTCCCACCAGCCCTTTCAGAAACCTAACACCAACCGTTCCTCCTGCAGCACCCACCACCTCTCAGCTGGATCCAGTAATTCACTATAGTGACCACACAGAACTCACAGATTATGGGGTTTATTAGGGAAGCAACAGGCTATAACTCAAGTTCAGAAATACACTCAGTCTCTCGCAGCCAGCTGTCTCTCTTAGCAGCCAGCAGTCTCTGTCTCAGCAGCACGTGTCTCTCGCATCTATCTCTCATCAAGTGTGTGTCTCTCAGGAGCATGTTTCTCTCAGTAGCATGTCTTTGCCAGCTAGCAGTCAGAGAGACTCCTTCTGCCTCTAAGAGTGCTCCATTTTGAGCCTGGCAGAGTGGCCAAACTAACCAATTCCAACATCAAAATTTTATACACCTGAAAAAGAAAGAGAACTTCCCAGAAGATTGCTTTGTGACACTCTCAACAGAAATACCCCAGGTGGATAACTTTAACAATCAAGAGCTACTGAGTTGCTCATGGCAAATTCCACCATTGCTAAAGGAGCAAGGAGGCTGCATCTTCTGACTTCCTCCAACCCCACAAGAGGAAGACAGAATCACCATCAGCCTCCAAGGCCTATTCCTGCGAGGCCAGACATGCTGCCTCCTTCCAGCCCTTTCCTCCCACAGCACCCACCACCTCTCTGCTGGGTTCAATAATTTGCTGCAGTGGCCACACAGAACTCACAGATTATGGGGTTATTAGGGAAGCACCAGGCTACAATTCAAGTTCAAGAAAAATGCTCAGTCTCTCTCAGCCCACCGTCTCTCAGCCAACAGTCTTTCTCAGTCTATCCCAGCAATACGTGTCTCTTGTGTCTCTCTCAGCAATGCATGTCTCTCGGTGTCTCTTTCTCAGCAGCGTGTGTCTCTCAGGAGCATGTTTCTCTCAGCAGCATGTCTTTCTCAGTCAACAGTCGGAGAGACTTCTTTTGCCTCTAGGAGGGCTCCTTTTGAGGCCAAACTAACCAATCCCAACATCAGAATTTTATACACCTGAGAGAGAGCAAACTTCCCAGAAAATTACTTTGTGCTGCTCCCAACAGAAATACCCCAGGTGGATGACTTTAACAATCAGGAACTACTCAGTTGCTCACAACAAATTCCACCACAGAGTTTACAAAGACTTATGGCTAGAAAAGCCACACTATGTAATTTACTACACCGCAGGTACATAATTGAAAATCCAGTGTCATGTATGTGCTTTTATAATTAACAGTATCAGCTAATATTTAGATAGACCCTCTTATAGATTATAAAGATAAAATTATGAGTTAGATATGGAATTTTTTGGCTGTCATGACCACAGAACAGATTTTGGGGGGTGGGGGTGGTAAATGTATGTTTAATTTCATTCAGTAGACAGATGCTGTTCATAAATAGTAAGCTGTTGGCATTTCAGCACCATCTAGTGTATTGTGGCTGTTGTTGCAACTGAGCTTGAAATATCATTGGTGACATATAGTGGTTTTATTTATTATATTAGAAAATATTCAGAATTCAATAACTGGTCAACGTACCAAAGCCTATCCTCATGCTCACTTGACCAATTCCATAGAATACCTTTTTTTTCAGTCAGTGATGTTTTCTGAAAAGTAGTTCACTTTGTAGAAGAAAGCAGTGTCGTTCTCTGGTAACCCTTTTTGAATTTTATATAATACCTGGATTTCACTGTCTATTAGTAATCAATTGATTAGTAATCAACTGATAGAACCATTGAAATGATTTTTGAGTTTTCCTAGCAAAAGTTAAATGGGATAAATTGATTCCTTATATCCTTGAGACTATAAATAATTGCTGAATCCTCCCAGCTTGAGCAGAGATAAATGTATGTGAACTGACCTTTAATTAATATGAAATTTGCATTTTTTTGTGTTCTTTTACATCTGTTTATTGTCAAGAATCCTTTGCCTTTTGGGAGGATAATATTTATATTAGAAGCTGTCTTTTTATTACCTTTTGGTTCTTTAATGGTGCAGTTCATTGACATAGACCTTTCCATTATATATCTCAAAGACTGTTTCAATCATGGCTTCTACATAGATGTGCTGTGATGTTCTATGTGTGGAATTCCAAGGTGTATGAGAGTCATTCTTCTATTTTATTTATTTCTGGTCTTCATTTCATA